AAAAAAATAATACATTTCAGCATGCGCCTGGGGAATTTCATTGCTTTTATGGCCACCTTGGATCTATGCTTGGCCGTACATCGAGGGCCAACGAACGGTACCCATCAATGCATGTTATATACAATTCATCGAAACAAATCATTACATCACATTCGGTACCGCAATTGCTGCATTTTATGTGCCTGTCACTGTGATGATCATTCTTTACTGGCGCATATGGAAGGAAACCAAAAAGCGGCAAAAAGATCTTCCGTATTTACAAGCTGGAAAACAAGACGCCAGTAAGAGGAGTAATTCTAGGTTGGTTGTTTGATTTTTTTTCAATTTTTTTTACATATACTATTATATAATTAATAACATCTCGATATTATGACGAGATAATTTCCAACAGTTTTAATCATTTTATCAGTATCATACATTATGATGTTAATACTAGCATTAAAGTTATTTATTATTTAGTAAGTAAGTTATCAATATTACTTGTTATTTCAAAAGCATTTCATAAATCATTTTCAAACAAGATATATATATATGTCATAGAAAAATTGTATTTTCAGATTTAAAGAAGAAATCCAACAACGAATAATATCTACTTTTTTTTAATTCTAAGTTATTTTAATTAAAATATTTATATTTGTACATATGTACAATTAATTAATCAGCAACATACCAACAAATACAATTGAGTTGATAACTCAAAAAATGAAAGAGATAGATAATCCATTTAATTATTTCTTTACTTACAATTAGCGACGAAGCGTTAGACATGGAGGACTGCAGGAGGCCTAGAAGCGAATCGAGCACAGGAGTCGAAGACGTGAACGCGACACATATCGCAGTCTCTTATCTAGAGAAACATTATCCTCAATATAAAACGGTAAAAATATTTCAAACTATTTAATATTTTATACAAAGATATTTGTTAAAAATAACGAATATAATTTACATAAATTTACAGAAACACAGACCATTTTCGTGGATGTGGTTGAAGATGTGGTGCATCGCGTGGTGGCATAGTGGTCGCGAAGACGATGACGAAGAAGAGGATATCGAGGGAGCTGAGAGCAGTCGTGCTACACACGGTTATGACGAAGCCATAACGCCATTGTCGGCGGAAACCCCTCTTACTGGTACGGTCTCTCGATCTGCCTCTTTAAGTGGAATTCATCCTACCACGTTAACTGTTGAGAGAGCCATCAGTATCGCTGATAACCACGATTATAAAAAATCTGGAAAAGCCGGCGAACTATCAACGAAAAGCATCTCTAGCGATTCTGTATGTTTGGATTTATAAACATTCTAATAATATTGCACGATCTTGCATGTTACAATAACTAAAAGCTAGCATATCTTGACAGGTAAAAGTAAAACAATTTTTGCAAGAAATCTTATATTTTTATTTTATTCATTCTTATATTTTTGTTTTATTTATTTATTATTATTTAACATTATTGTCATATTCAATTAATTAATCATTTAAAATATTTCACACAATTAAAGCATAGATCAAATGCGTTGGCTGATCAGAGACATTTTTGCATTGTTCACTTTCATAATTGTCACAAAATTAAAGTCAAGAATTATGGATTAAGTGAGAAAAATTAAAAATATTCAAAAAGAACAATAAAAAAAAGAATAAAAATTGAAGTCACGAGATATTATTTAGAAAAAAGAACAATATCAATTACTTGATACATATTTAATGTATATAATTTTTACAATTAAAAAAAATAATATGCATAATAAATATAATACAGCAATATATCGATCCAGTTATTTAATAGATTAGAGCTAGATTAGAGATAGATTAATATAAGCTTGCTTGATCTTTTTGAATTACCTCGTATAATTTTGAAATTTTTTGTAACCATAAAAATATCATAGAATCAGGTTTTAGATTATACATTATATAATTGTTTAATATATAAAAATATTTCCTACCTAGGTTTACACGATTCTAATTCGACTTCCAACAAGAGACACCAGTGGCATGGGAAAGTATTCGGAAGGTCCAAGTATAAAAATGTATCACGACGAAACAGTGAGTCCTTCGATGATCACCAGGAGACCATCTCACATGCCGGACATAAGGATTCCCTTAAATACGAAAAACATTCCGAAAGCATTAGGGGGCAAGCCAGCCGCGAATAAAACTACAAACAAGAAGAAAAAGAAATTGCAGGAGAAAAAAGCCGATCGAAAAGCCGCGAAAACTTTGTCAGCCATTTTGCTGGCATTTATCATCACCTGGACACCGTACAATATTCTCGTTCTAATTAAATCCATCACAGCCTGCTCGTGGTACATCCCGCAAGAGCTCTGGGACTTTTTCTATTATCTTTGTTATATCAATAGTACTGTGAATCCAATGTGTTACGCCCTGTGCAACGCGGCATTCCGACGAACATACGTAAGGATTCTCAAGTGCAAGTGGCATAATAGAAACAGAGCCGCGATTGACAGAGGATGATATCAGTAGAAACGCCCAGCATGCGACATCTGCACGCTTGTGGGCGTACTATTTTCTCTATCATTTTCTCTCTTCTCCTTTTTAATCATTCCTCCGAACGTGCTTGCCGATGATAGGGAAACTGAGTTGCTTTCAATTATAACATAACCTATATTAATGAATGTTTATAAGACAGTTTCATCGCTTTCGCTCATTATTGCGTGTATCTTACTTTTGTTAATTGAAAATCGAACGTACGTATTTGCTGTAATTACTATATAATTTTACTACCAAATTATATTTTTCAATTTTGGCATTTGAAAATTTGTTACGCGAGCACTAATATTGTTTTAATTTTTTCATTTAATTTTTTATAGATATGGATAATAAGGGAATAATAGGGTTTTGAAAATATCATAAGAATCTTTTTTAAGATAAATAAAAATTTTTCGAAAAATTGATAAAATGATTTGTAATACAACATTTATACAAATCGAAAAACAGTTAAAAACATTATACTCGAAAATTTTATTTCATAGATGTTAGATTAGGGAAAAACAGGGTGTTTACACACAATTCCATTTAATAAATTTAATAAGACGCATTTTGTATACATTTTGTATTTGTATTTTACAATCATAACACGATTAACTTCACGAGTTTTTCAATTTGAAATTATGTTTTATCCATTTTAGGAAAAAATGAGTGATGATATAGAAAGTATTTATCTATCTAAATTTGTCTATTTAATTTTTATTAGATATTTATAAAATTAAGAAAACCAGAAAGTATGATTTTCAATTACATCGTGTTGAATAAAGAATTGATTAAAGAAATTAAAAACATTTATTACTCGAAACGCGAAGAGACAAGCGTGTTCTTATTTTAGATTGTGGGAAATCGAAAAGGACTATTAAATGTTCGTGATTAAACAGCTCAGATTTCCAGATTTGAGGCAATGCAACGTGAATACTGCCATGAAAAATAATCTTTATAAATATATTTCTGAACCGTACAAAAAAAAGACAAAAGAGAGATAAATAATCGGCACGTACGCGACAGTGCCAAATTTGTGGCTCGATTTCAGCGACAATTGTACGATAAATAAATGATATCGACTTGTCGCGAATCGAGTTTTTTTTCTATAGTTTGTGAAACGAAATCAGTTTCTATAAACAATATAAGTGTAAAAATATCTATTTAATCGCGTTGAGACATTTACAATGATATATTAAACAAACAAATTTTTATCAAATAATTCTAAATATTAATTTTGGATTAATAAATCAAAATCATTGGTCGTCCAAAATTTATTAAAAGTTTTAAAACTGTTAAGAATGTTTTCAGTTATATAGAATTGTTAATGTAGATAATGAAAAATGAAAATTTTCGTTTGACAAAAATTTTCAAATTAAAAAGAAATAATATTTAAGAAACTGACTAAATTTCGCGAACCTCCTACAAAGCTATACCGCACAAAAACGAAATCTTATTCGAATCCTAAAAAAAAGTTAATAAACAGGTATTTCTCGTGCGTTTTATTCGAGGAACACAACGCACTTGATGTACATTTTAAATAGTAGTTCAGTTGTAAATGAGTGTTTTAAGTGTAATTAGTCACGGAGAACCAAACAAGCGCTAATATACATAGAGACATGTGTCACAACTATAATGACAACAAAATAAATAAAAAAAAAAAGCGCTGCATCGATTCTTTCGTATTAAGAAACGTTGTAACACTTTCGTATTAAATAACATTCTAATCACACGTGCCAAACGAAGCTTTAAGATATCAATAGTATAGGGCGGTAACTTAATAAATGTGTTCTTTCAAAAGTATACTTCTATTAAATATATAATATATAAATAAGAAATTAAGAATTTTCTATCATTTTTTTAGTATAAAATTTTACAGAATTTTTAATATGTATTTTTTTCTATAAGATAAAATTACATAATTTTGTATCATTTGTATAGAGTACTTCTCGGATAAATGATACAACAATGGTTTCTTGTATAATTTCGTATGTCGAATCATTGTGAATATAAAATAAAGATATAATGATGCTAATTATATATTAAATTTTAATATTATTATTATTATTATTATTATTATTATTATTACATAGTATACAATTTAAAACGTATATATATTTTAAAAAATTGAAATTTATATTATAATTTTATAATAATTTTATTACTTTATAAGCATCTAATGAAAAAGTTAAAATTTAGTTTATATTTATATATCGATAAATATCTCGTATATCGCGAAATTCATTTTATGAGTAATAAAAAATATAGTGAATTATATGAAATTTTAAAATATGCGATCATTTATCCGAGAATTATTGATACTGTGCCATTCCAAATGAAATTTAATAACAAAGAATATACAATTTTATTCAGTTTAATTTGTTTAGAAGTATTTATGATACAAATCGGCTTTTCAAGCAATTTATAAGGTTAGATATACTTAATATCGCCTATACAAAATTTCAAATCGATTCTAATTGATATTTAAAATTTTTTAATCAGATTTGAAAAAAATAGAAGACATGCAAAAAATAACTTTTTGAAAAATACATATAACGCTTACCTAAAAATCTATTTCCTATATCCCTATAATTTTTGAATAGTGATCCCCTTAAAGCTTATTTTTAATTAATAATAATAAATTTTTAATATTTATTTTATTTTATTTAATTATTTTATTTAATTTATTATAATTATATTACATTTTAATTATATTTTATCATATTCTAAAAAATGGTCATCTTTCATTATGATCATCTTTTCACTAGTCAAAGACAATGCTAATGATTATTTAATGATGTTAATTTCCGTATTAATTTTTTAAGTTATAAACAATTTAATTTTGCATTGGAAACAATAAAATTAAAATGGAATTTTAATTTTTTTTTTTTTCTAAAAAATAATACAATGCATGATTGATATCTATTTTACAAATTTAGATAAGATTTGCTTAATTCTTTTTATTTATTTTATTTATTTCTAATAATTAATTTAGTTATAAAATTATAATGAAAAAAAATATCTCCTTTAAAAGAATAATATTTTATTTTAATTTCTTAAAATAATTTTTTTTCAACATTCCGTTATTATTAAATGATGTATGTGTTCGCAATGTGTTCAAGATTTATTTTAAGAATCTATTATTCTTCCTTTCCTATATTACAAAAAAGCAAACCTTTATGCATCCTTATCGTTAAAAATATTAATTATCTTAAAAATTTATCTTTTTATTTTATCTCATTTTCAATTCAATTTTAATAAAGTTTAATAAAATCTAATTAATTTTATAATATAAAAAATTAATAGATTAAAATAAAATTCTAATTTTAAATTTATTTTAATTACTATTCTTCGATCTTACCATTGAATTTTTTTTACGAAGTTTTTTTTTAACATACGTAACACTCCATTTATTATAAAAATTAACAAAATAATATTGTCTATTCGAGGAAAGCCGATTCTATTTATATCCATGTTAAAATACAAATTTTGACATTCTTTTGAATTGCAAAATTATTTTCTTATCACAGAAATAAATATAACTATTCAAACGATAAAAACGATCGAAAGCACACATTTATTAATTAAGTACATGGTCAACTTGCCAGCAGTCGCGTTTCAAAGAACGTATCATTGATATTTTAGATTTTATGTCGAAGAATGACATATTTTCTTGAGCAATGAATATTAATATTCAATATAATACATTAGGGTGGTACAAAAAAATTATTTTTCAACGATGAAAAAAATTTAATCTTTTTAAATTTTGTTTAGTAAAAATAGTTTCTATAAAATTTAGAGGTGTCGCAAGTGCTTTAAAGCGTTACGATCTTTCGTTTTAAACTATTTATAAACATATTCTTTTAATTTTTTAATTTTTATTTTTATTATATTATCAATTATAATATCTTTTTCTCTATAAATCTTATTACAAATTTTTTATTATAAATATTAATTATTATAAATTTATCGATATCTCAAAACGAACGTGTAAAACGATATTCATATCATAAGAGAGCAAATTAAGAATTCTAGTTCAAATTTCTTCCGGTTCAAAATGATTTGTGTATATTAAAAAAAAAAAAAACATTATTCCCTGAAAATAAAAATTAAATTACAAAAATTTATAAAATCAATGAGAATTACGAATTTACAAATGATATGCGGCATCATAAAAAAGTTTTTTAACTACATTCACACTTTAATAGCTTAAATATGCTATCGAAATATTGCTTTCGAAGTACATACAATTTTCTTTTTTTTTAGATGTAATGAATTTCAAAAAAAAAAAAATGTCATCCCTACGTTTCGTTACCATCTTATTATACATTATCTAATGTATTTTATTATTTTATTGTTATTTGATTTATCTCGTACTTGCTACTTAGACGTGTATATTTGTAAATACGTATACAAAAAAACATATGTACATCTCTCTTTCCTCTCTCTCTC